ATAGAGGAGACTTGTATGCATATTACTAAGGTAAAGAGGATAATCTGAAAAGGCTACATACTGTATCACTTCAACTATATGACATTGTGAAAAAGGCAAAGCTATGGAGACAGCAAAGAGATCAGTAGCTGCCAGGGGGAGGGAGGAACGGAGAGGCAGAACACAAAAGACATTTAAGGGCAATGAAACTACTCTGTATGATACTGTAATGGTGGATATATGTCATCATGGAATTGTTAAACCCATAGAATGTACAACACCAAGAATGAACCTTAATATAAACTATGGACTTTGAGTAATAATGGTGTGTCAGTGTACGCTCATCAGTTGTAACAAATGTACCACTCTGGCGGGGAATATTGATAATGGGGGAGGCTATACATGTGTGAGGGGGATGGGGTATATGGAAAATCTATGTATCTTCTGCTCAATATTGCTGTGGACTTAAAACTGCTCTGAAAAATAGTCTTAAAAAAGGATTACTCTGGCTGCTGTGTTGCAAACAGAATACAGGAGGGCAAAGGCAGTAGCCAACAGAGGAGTTTAGCTGCTCATGCATCATTAGATGCATGTAGCCAATAGGAACTGTTTAGAATCTAAGCATATTTTGAAGGTAGTGTCAACAAGATTTTTGACAAAGTGAATTTGGGAGGTAACACAAAGAGAGGACTGATCAATAGGAAGGTTGCAGTTACCATTAACTGAGATGGGGAAGGTTTGGATAAAACAGATTTGGGAAAAGAAGATGAGGAGATAAGTTTGGTCAAGTGAAATTTTAGGTATCTATTGACAGCCAAGTGGAGATATCAATGGTTTTGTTAAACAAATTTGTCAGCTAAAGATCATATGGCATCTTCCACGGATTTCTTCTCCTGCCCTGCTGCTGATGGCAACTGCCAAAACGCCCCTCGAAGATGTCTTTCTGCTACTTCTGCAGTCAGAGTCTTCCATGAGGACACTGATATTGATGCCAAAGGTTCTTAAAGGTTCTTATCACGGTTTTGCAATAAATACTAAACCTTGAGGCACCAGAGAAAGGCTGTGGGCTCCTGAGCCCACATTCGCCGTGTAAAATGAAATCCTTCTTTCTCTCCCCATAGTGGCATTACATATGCTCCATGTCCTAAGCAATCTCCTTCAACTCCTATCTAAAATTTCTCCCTCCTCAGGATGAGGCATATAACCTCTTAAACTGAGACTTGTAATCTTTTCCTGTTCATTTAACCTTCACCCTTCAACTCCAAACTTTGCTTCTTCCTACTCTCTCTCCTCACTCTAATTCAAACATTCTCTTTCTGGCTCTAGGTCTGGGCATGTGCTCAGACTATTGTTAAATTATGATAATTTGTATGGACTCCATACTAGGAGAGACATCAGATTAAGATAGAGATATTGAGGCAGAGAATGGTGTGATGTGCACTGACATGGAATCCTACATGTAATGGAGACACTTCTAGCACCTAATTACTGCCTATTGGGGTATTAATAGAGAAACATTAACTTGATTGTGTTGCATAAAAGTATAACACAGCTGTGATACATCAAGAATCCACTGACTCACTATTTAAACATCTCCATGACCAAAATTCTTTCTCCACATCCGTTCTTTTGTCTATTTGTCTTCTTTCAGACTATATTAATAGATCTCTGGGAATTTCCACTAAATGAAAGAATTGTTCCTAAATTCGATGTTTTAGAATTACAAATGTTTCTGATACTTTAAATTGATTATCCAGATCTAAAATTGGCTTGTTTTTAGAATTTCTTCATATGGAGGTGGGGGGCTTAATGTGCCAAAAGATGGAACAGGAAACAGTTCAGGGTTTGTGGTTTGAAGGTGAATTCCAACAGTTGGACTCACAGCTGCTTCTGCTCCTCGGAAGAGAAAGATGGAGACTTGTAATTTTTCTAGTGAGCATGAAACAGAAGTACATGAACTGATAAAATCTGACATTTCTTGGATTACTGGAGTAACGGAAAATTATTTGTACCCATGAGAAAAAATTTACAGTCATTTTACTTTCTGCAGTGAAAGTTTAGTCACCACTGCAAGAAAATTTGCTTGCATGAACTGATTATGTCATCATTGACTAATTCATCAAGAAGCATTTACAATTAACAGCTGAAACCAGAAGGAATATCTTCTTTTGTGGATCACAAGACAGGATTTCTCCAAATACTAATGACATTTCAGCTAATGCTCCCAATCATGGGAAATGCAAGTCCCACTAGAAACATTAAAATACCACTTTCTAAACTTCATCATTTTATATTTACGCTTGCAAATTGTAACTGATGCAAATAATTACTATAATCATCTCTCTATAATGAATAGTAAAAATGTTACCATAAATGGTGAAAAGTTTGCATTTAAAGTATACACACACGATAAAGAGAAGGCATTCTAAAGTTTTTTCAAATGTTTTGAAATGAAAGTTCTTGACTTCTAGATTATGTACAAGCCATTAAATATTTAAAACACGCCCATTTTTCTACAAATTAGTCACCTTATGAGACCATGAATGTATTCCAATAGCTCATTAGGAAATCTTCTATTAGTATTTCCTTGAAAGATTGTTTTTGAGTCATACAAAAAATCAGTAGTAATATTTTATAACCATCTCTCTTTTATACATATGTATTTTTTTCACCCGGTTCTTACCTGCCTTTGAATGATTTTGATTGCTTCTTGCCAAAACCATAGTAATAACTATAAACTCATCTTTAAAGAAGAAACTAGGCCCTTGAACTCAATCTGGCCCTTTGAATATTTTTGTATATTAAATTTAATTGAAATACAATCATATCCATTAATTGACATACCGTCTATGGCTAATTTGGCACTGCAATGTGAATAGACCATATGGCTTGAAAATCCAAAAAATATTTTCTGTCTGGCCCTTAATAGAAAAAGTTTGCCTTTTTCTATATAAGACCTTTCTTAAAGGAATAAGATTTGATACCATTGGGAAGATTCCAAAGAAAATGCCACAATTATCAAAAGAATTCAAAGAGTAGTCACATATTAGGCATTAGCTGTATCACTGAAGCCGATATGTAGATTATTCAAAATGATTACTTTGAAGTGCACAATATTAGTTTAGAATTATGGATTTTCATATATTTGTATTTGTCTTATGTCTTATCTCACTGGTTCTCAGAGCAATGAATGAAAATTCTTTGCTCTGAGAAGAGTAGAAACATTTAAAATATAAGTCTTACTTCCTGGCTTAGCACTTTTCTTAGGGAGTTATTTATTTAATTGAATAACCTACTCCTAGGCTATTAAATAATATTTCTTTATCTTAGTTTTCTCTTATGCAATAAAAAAATAATGTTATTAATAGTATCTACCTAGCAAGGCTAAAGGACTATAAAGTGCTTAAAACAAAATGTGGCACACAGTAACTGCTCATCAAATGTTTATTATTGTTACTATATATCAAGAACTGTACTATGCTAGGAATATGCATGCATTTTCTCTTATTTATAATATTATTTCCCAATCTATCCTATTTTAATGATTTAATCATTATCATTATTAGTTATATTAACACAAATTATTAAATGAAAAATATCACACAGTTAGAACTTCTTGCAGTTCTTAAGTTCAGACTGATGTCAGCTAATTATGTGGGACTTAATCAATCAGAATTGACATTGGTAAAATATACAACCTGTCCCAATAATTTCCTCTATTGAATACTTGTACTAAATGCTGGCCATTTTCTTGATGAACTGCTTTTAGTGCATTCAATACAAAGTCAAATGTAACTTAGCTCTCTTTCTGCCTGGAAATAGTCAACCAGATTAACTTAAAACGTCTGTTATTTTTACTAGCTCCAATTCATTTCTACACTGTCACTATCAATATTGTGCTCCAGGTGATAGGATCTTGACAATTGCTCTCTACGGTAGGAAAGTTTTGTTATCTACTTGCTACAAATTTGGTTGTTGCTCTTCAACTTGTTACGAAAATCACAAGACATTCTTTTTTTTTTTTTTTTTTGAGACAGAGTCTCACTGTGTTGCCCGGGCTAGAGTGCCGTGGTGTCAGCCTAGCTCACAGCAACCTCAAACTCCTGGGCTCAAGCGATCCTCCTGCCTCAGCCTCCCAAGTAGCTGGGACTACAGGCATACGCCACCATGCCCGGCTAATTTTTTCTATATATTTTTAGTTGTCCAATTAATTTCTTTCTAATTTTAGTAGAGACGGGGTCTCGCTCTTGCTCAGGCTGGTTTCGAACTCCTGAGCTCAAACAATCTACCCTCCTCGGCCTCCCAGAGAGCTAGGATTACAGGCGTGAGCCACCACGCCCGGCCAAGACATTCTTTTGATAAACATAACTAAGCCAAAGTGCGCAGAAGTTTTTGAAAATCAAACATGTATTATATCAGTTTTAATTTTATTCAAAGCAGGTTTACATACACTATCAAGTGGTTGGAGCATGGGGAAGCAGGTATTATTTTATCTTTTGACAAATTATGAAGCTGAGAGAACTCAGTTAAAAATGCTGGCAAAAATCCTACAGTTTTACCAGAACTGCTGACTAAGATATTAGCATTTATTGTTTAATTTTGTAAAACCAATACACTCACTGCTAAGTTTTTATAGTGAAAGTTCAGATTCCCCACAGTATTAAAAATCACTCAAATAGACTTCACTTATTTCAACATGCCCTTTCCACCTTTTTCTTTTCTTTTCCCTTCTTTACCTCACCCCTTTCTCTCATATGGGAGTGGCCAAAAGCCTGCATGTGAGTCACAGTTCTACCATCTACTGACTGTGTTGCTTAATCTGTTATGTGTCTTTGTTGCCTCATCTGTAGAGTGTTCAGAATGATAGTGAACCCTTCATATTGTTGTAAGGAAGAAAAAATGAGATTAAAAATGTCAAGTGTTAACACAGGGCATGCCTCATGGTAAATGCTTAACGAACATGAGCCATCACTATTATCACATTCTTCCACGAAAGTCTGTGCATGAAACACTCCCTCTTTTATTACCTAAAGTAAGTCACCAAACATAAAACATAGGTAGATGACATTTCCAAAGGATCCTAAAATAAAAGATAGAATCCTGGGAGACCTGGAGGGAGAAGGGAGCAGAATGTGTAAATCCCTGCTTCTTGTTCATCTTTCTCCAGCTCTCCTTCTCCTTCCCAGCTCCGAGCATTGACATTTAATCACCGCTGGAAGACTGGTGTTTCTAATTTCCCTGAAATAAGAAAAAGGGAAGATTATCTCTGAAATTGCAGAAGACATGGGATCAGGGAGATTGTATAGTTAAGGGCAGTGTCATCAGGAAATCAGCCCCAATGAGAATCCAAACCAAGATGAGCATCCCCAGGAAGGGTGTCTTCTCTGGCCCTCACTTCTTGCTGTCTTCTCAGGAAGGGCAGGGGATGTTGTTAGGGATGTTGTTAGTTGTCAGGGCTGAGCAGACCCAGCTCCAATCCACAGAACTCATGTGATAAAGGCAAAGGGACCCTTATGTTACAATGATTTACTATTTTTTTGGTTAAAAACATGGACAAAGATGGGTGTAGGCCCCTCTCCTAAGCTCTCAAATTCTCTCTACTCTAGTGCATATTAGATTGTTTTTCTGTCTCAATCCTTATTTGCCATTCTCTCTCCTCCCAAACCCCAAACTTCTTTCCCTTCATTATCTTTAAATGTCTTACTTCATCATTAATGTGGTTTTTTATTCAGCTTAACAATCTTATTTTTAATGAAGCTTTATTTTCATCCTCATTTTTAGTGAATTAAAATGAAAACCTTTTGTTTTTAGTAAACTTTAAAACTCCTTTGACATTACCTACGTTTCAAATGCAAATTAGAAAACAAAACAATTAACCTAAGAAACAAAATCAAATCCTTTTCTCTTTTTTCTTTCTTTAATCATGTGTGATTCCCACCTATTTCACGCAGTCATAATTATAGTCCCTGGTTTTAAAGAGTGGAGAGCAATGTTCACAAGCGATAGAGATTCAGGATATAGATGGTTATACGAGAATTGTAATAATCTTCTCTTCTTTCCCGATCTTTACTAAAAACTTGCACACACTCCTTTAAAAAAGTCACTTTCTGTGGTCCACTGTGTATTCTCATTTTCCATTTTCATATTTGAGTGGGGGGCAGGGAAGTGGTTGCAAATCTTCTGTGTGAGATGAGAAAACATTGAAACAAGAGATAATTTTTACCCCTAAAACAGGTGCTAAAAAAATGATAATGCTAGAATTATTGGTTCGTGATGGTTGTTAGTCTAAGAAACTATATCATGGATGATCTCATTCAAGAAGTCATAGGGGCATTGAATCAACACTTTCTGCTGTTGTAGCAAGGATGTGCTGGCAACACCTTCATTAAATATCTTTTGTAAGAATCCCAAGCCAAGCATTTTCTTTTTTCTCTTTAGTGTTTCTCAACAAGATAATTGGCAACCTGAGCCATGTGATATTGTCATTAATTGCTGTTGAAAGAAATTTCCTATTTTATACGTTTTAACATTAGCACAGTTTAGTCAACTCCAGCCTGTTACAGTCAGCCAAAGTTTTCCTCTTGGCTCTTCTCAGTTGAGGGCAGCTTCTGTGAGATCCTGAGTCAAACCTCTGACCCACAGTTCAGAAGAACAGAGCTATTTCAATTAATATATTCAACAAATAGTAATAATGAAGTGAAATGAGTTTTGAAAAGTAAAAAATTAAGTTCTGGGAAGAACCCAAGGTTATTATATCAAATCTAGTCTCTCCATTAAAATGTTTTAAATGGCCCATTTCTTACATTCTGTATTCAGAGGGGGACATCCTCCCTTCCCCTTTGTGCTCAAGGGATCACAGAGGGTCCAGAAACCCTATTTCATATTCTAATATGTCACCAGTGTCATTCAAGATGTTTCTCATTTTTCTTTCCCTCTTCTGACCATGTACAGTGAGGAAAACTCAGAAGAACAGTCCCATCACCTCAGTGAGGGCACATGAATCCCTCAGTAGCTGCACTCACCCCCAGGCTATGAGAACATGCTTTGTGGGGGCTGTAGAGGTAAATACTGTAGTTTTGACACTTACCGTCCCCTGTAGCCACAAAAGTTAGTGGTTCTCTAACTTCCCTTTTGCAGAGCAGCTCTTTCTTACAGAAATATCATGAAGGAAGAATCATTTGTTTGGAGAAATGAGGGTACGATGAGGATCCAGTGGGAAAAGTAAATTCAATGTGGGTCCAGGTTTCAGGCTGCCTTAAAATATTGACTCTCTGAAATTTACTTCCATAATTACTAGCTAAGAAGTCACTAGAAAACACAGAGATCATTACTTCCTAATTTACTCTCTTACATTTCGTTTTGGAGAGGAGAAACAGGAATGCCAAAAAGCACAACTCTGGGCACAACATCCATATCAAAGATTGTGGGAATGGCTGTTCACTGCCGGCACAGCTATCCTGAGCATCCCTGTGATGGGATAGAAGATGAGCAGTGGTGGGATAATATAACACCCAACCCCATATAGGCATGAGAAAAGATACATGGGAAAAGGCCACTAAGCTTGTGGCCTCCAAGGTGGGAACCAACAGAAGAGAGCTTTGTAATCCAAGTCAGGAGAGAAGAGAGTTTAAATGCTTCTTAAGCAAACTAAGGTCCGGAATCTATACCAGTGGATTGGGTGGAAGGGAGAGAATGAGGATGGATGGGAATGAAGATTCTGGAGTGCAAGCCCTGCCATTGAGGAGCCACCCTAGTATCTGTCTGGATATTCAAAATATGAGGCCAGACTTAGTTTCCAGGGATGAGATGGCTGGGCTGTAAGTTCCCAGCACAAATTTTCACTGGCTCCCTATTCCCAACTCTAGATAATTTGAACTATATTAGTGGATTTGCAGCAAACATTTTTGTATGCGTATTTACCCAGCAGAGTGAAAGAAGTAGATAACATCCTCTAACAGAAATAACAGCTACTTTTCCAAGTTGATTTTTAGGAATTGGAGATACTATCTGAAAAGACTTGACCTCCTGCCCAGCATTTGGTAGATGTGAAATACATTGTGACCACATTTTTTTAAAAAAAAAGTCTCCCAAGTTGTTTTATTTTCCTGTTCATAGTGATTTCAGGGTAATATAGAGAATGTGATTCTACTGCCAGGCCCTCAGTACTATCACGTGCAGATTATTGAAGTAATATAACTACCTTGACCCGTTCTCTTACTTGATCAGGCAAGTTCAAGAGCATATAAATTAAGCCACCACAGGAAATGAAAAAATATTAGATAAATGAGGACATAACCATGGCACATAAACTGCTTTAAAAATTATAACAGTATACTGAGTAGTTTATAATATACTTAAAATTAAAAACAGAATTCTTTTAAGATTCAAGATAGTCTAGTAAATAGTATTCCTCAAAGTGAGAGAAGCACTGAAACCAGGCTTCATTTTCCTCCTGACAAACTCAAGTTCAGTTAAAAGAAGTATATGTGCATTTATTTTAAATACCTCTAGTTAAATAAGGGAAGATAGACCAGTGCTACCACATTGATACCTTTCACTAACATATTTTGTTAGAAAATCAACGATCCTATTTCCCTCTGTACTCTATGGAAAGTGCCTTTGATTTTAGGAGAAAGAACTATTGTCTTTGGAAACTTTAATTATCCTTCCCAAAATAACCATTTCCCAAATTTATAATGTGTTGCTCTTGTTAAGTAATGACCTTTGAAGGAAAAAAAAAAAACTCAATAGTGAATATCACTAAATCTTAGAGTACTAACAATTTAGTTTATTTTTATCCCACTTTTTATTTAGCTGTTAGTTTTTCCCAGGGCACACCTTGCTCCGTCAATTGAAAGTCTCATGCCGTCCTAAGTTTCTGAAGGACACTTGCTAATTTCTATTAAGCACTCTTAAGGCAACTGTGGTGTGTAAGGCAGTACCTTAAAGTCAAGTCTCACAACAGTTTCTGGGGGGAAACAATACTTAATATAAAGAAATAGCTATGGCCTCTCAAAAACCAGTAAAAGTTTTTTTTCTACTTGCAGCTAAGGCTGGCAACTGCAACTAACCCTTAATTTCCTCCATTCCTCCTCCTTCCGCAACCTGGAAAATGACGGAGGGGCATGATTTGGGGAGCAGGGGTTGGGAGTGGTAGAGTCAGGTGCCACCAGTGTGTCTGAGGTGAAAGGGCATGAGGATTGACACTGTCTTGCTCAATTCCATTTATTTTAGACTCTGCATTGGCAGCAGACAATCTGGAAAATGTGGTTCAACGTTACTTCTGATGAGTTAAGTAAGCCATAGAAAGCTTAGCTAATGAGATTATAAATAGAAGTTAAGATAGACTGATACCAAAAGCTCAGAGACGCTTTCCTGCACCTTAAACCCTACCCCTCACTTGGAGCATCCAAACCAGCATCTCTCTTCTCTTCTGCTTGTTGACTGAGCCAAATGTTCAATTTCTGTCCCCACACTCAACTACAAGTCAGTTCTCCAAGATACCTTTTCTTTCTTCTGGAATCTCCTTTCGTCTGAAGCTTTTTCCCTTAAACTCTCTCCACAAAGCATGCCTTTGAGTCTCCAATAAGCCGTGTTTTGTTCTATGTTCAAAAATCTGCTTTTCAGAGAATGGCTTTTCATTTCACCACAAAACCACAAAGTTTCAAAAAGGAGTCCAGAAGTGTGTAGACAACTCACCATAAATGGGGTCCAAGTCTCCAACAGCAACAATGGCCACTGTGTGTCTTTGGGAGTCAATTCGGGGTCTCTTCAGACAGCACTGGAGGCATAAGAGCACTACTCCACAGAGAAGAGCCACCAGGAAAATCAGCAGGAGGAGCCTGATGCCAAAAGTAGCAAGAGAGGAGTGAGGTAGAGCATGCAGGCAGCTAAGAGCTTCTGTTGCTGTCTAGAAAGGGGGCAAGGACTCAGCTAGACTGGCTGAAAGCAATCTGGGGTCCTGAATTTGTCAAGCAATTCCCCCCTCCGGCCACCGCCACTCATACATTCCCACTGAAGCTGAGACAGTCTCTGCCTTCAGAGAGGGTCAATCTTTCCAGGTGGTCATAAGCATTTTCTCATTGGAAATTGGAGGGTTATTCTAAAAAGTTGTGTCTTGGTTACTTAATTTATTCATCCATTCTTCCTTTCATTCAGCCATCCATCTATTCATTTAACTAGTATTTAAGCAACTGAACACATTTTAGATATTGGGTTAGAGAGTCAAAGTAGACAAGATAGGGCCTCTGCCTTTGAGGTACTAACCATCTAATTGAGAGAACTGACGATGTTAAGTTTGGAAAATACAAACATCAAGATTTACAAGATTATAATAACTGCCTTAAAATTTCTAAATGACTATCTCACAGAAGAAGTAGCAGTCTTATTTTGAATGCCTTTTAAGGCCAGAACTAAAATCAGTGGAGGAGTCATTTAGGGAGATTTCAAGAGAAAGAATAAATATTTTACCATTAAAAAACTCCAACTTTAGAATAAACTCTTATTCTTAAAAGTAGTGCATTATCTGTCACAATTAGTGTTTAAGTAAACACTGGACAACAACCCAAAAGCAATACTTCTATAGATATGGATTTGCATGAACCCTAAAATTTCCTTAAGATGTATGATTTCTTGCACCATCTCAAATTGTTTAGGGAAAAAAATGTGTCTACACCACCCAATGTCTTATAAAACAAATTGAAGATATCCTTACCAGATATACCAATCGTTAGGGTGTTGATCATTATAATTTACACACCTAGTGATAAAGGAAGAGCAGTTAGTGCTAGAACTCTAGATCGCCAAAGCCTATTTCTCCAGACCATAAAATTTGTACTGATCACACCTGTTTCCCCAGAACAATCAACAACTTATCATCATACCAACACCTCTCCCCACAATTAAGCAAATGTTTACCATATGCTCACTGATAATACAGATAAATGTGATGCTACCAGACATATAAACAGATAATTGCCCTGAGGAAGGTTTGATTCTGAAGTTACAAATACTGTTGTGTATTGAGAAGGTAGTGACTAACTCTTCAGAGCCAACATGTCATAGCTATTAGGTATTAGGCAGGTAACCATTCTAACCATTATTTTAATCTATAGACCTAGAGTCCCTTAAAATCCAAATTCTCTAGGGAAGTTCATAATATCTGTTAACCTTTATTACCTTGGTAGGAAATAGCAGGCATTTAACAATTGGTTGCACTCTCACTGGACAACTGGTGGGGAAAAAGGTAGGCTAGGAGGAAAGTGAGTGAATGTGGCCACAAGTACCATTTACTAAGGAGTTAGAGGTTGATCCCTTCAGTCAGGATGGTCAAAGTATTTGTATATGTAGGTACTCAATCATTCCTGAGATAAATTTAAAAAGATCACACAAAAACAAAGTTCACAGTGTGATTTTCAGGAAGTGTAACTCTGTAGGTGTAGAGAAATATGTGTTATTCATTCCAGAGTCCCTCACTGTGCCTGACATGGTGGTCTGAATGTATGTTTGCCAATGGACTATTTTCATACCTCAATATACGGGCCACTGTTGAGGGATTCTGAGCTTGAACAGTGGAAACCTGCTTATCACAGCTCAATACACTTCTGAGATGGAGCTAAACTTAATAATGTCTTCTTCGTCCATTGTTAAAATAACACTCAGTAATTTTCAGCTTGAAAGCATTCATAGATGTCAGTTAATTTATTGCTTCCAGAATTCCTCAGGAGGCAGTGTGTCCTGCCCTCATCGTACTAGTCAGAAATGACTTTTTGACATATGCGAAGTGTCAACTTAAAATTTTACCCCAAACATTAAAAAAATCCCCAGAATATGGATTATTTCATCCCTTTCTTTATGTAAATTTTCTGCTTCTGTTTTTTTGTTTGTTTGTTTATTTTTTGTTTTTGAACACCTATAGGGTTTAGCAAAGTTCACAGGTACAAATGGCTGGGAAAAAATGGCAACTGAAGTATGACTTTAACAAGAATTCTAAGACAAGTGACCATCAATAAAAGATTTAACAAATAATTAATGGCACATACTTACAAAGGAATACTATCCAGTCATCAAAAAGAATGTAGATTTACATTACTAATTAAAAATATTGTTAAGTAAAATAGTATAAATAACTCAGTCCTACTTTGTAAATACTCTTTTACACAAATACAATGATTTCGCCAAAATAACTATTAGTTAAATGTAAATATACCCAAACTGTTACCAGTACTTACTTCTAATGAAGATGGTATTATGAAGTACTTTATCATTTTAATATTTTTATATTGTTTGAATTTTTATAATGTTTATGAATCACTTCGTAATCAGAAAGCATTAACATATTATATGAAAATATAAGAACACTAAAGATGTAGCATCCCACTTAGCGATGGATGCAGGGAAATTCTCTTGGTGTCCTGGCCCAATTAAAGAGCAGAAGATTCTTCTTTTTGAATGTTGACATCTAAGCTCCTGGCCAGGAGTATGCATTATTTTATATCCCTCCTCCTGCTTCTCTTTTTTTTTCGCTTAAAAATAGCCCATATTCTTATAATTAAAGTCAATTCTAAATGTTAACTACTCTTTTATTTTTTAAATCTAATTTCTGAGCCACTCAGTATTTTTTCCAGTGCTAACAATTACCCAAACTGACTTGTTTCTCTTTCTCACTTTTCTGATCCTGTGCACCCTCTGGTGGAGGTTCTGATAAGCAATAAAGTGGCCACAAAGCAGTTAGCATGTAATCTCACAAGTGTTTGCACCTTTGGAATCATTTACTTCACCGTTAGGGTTTTATTCATTGTACAATTGAGCCCCAGGATGGGGAAAGAAAGTGGGAGGTCACTAGGTCAGGGAACATAACGTAGACTATGGGTCTTCTGACTCCACATGCTTCCCTCCCCCCACAACCATTATTTCCATTTCTTTCTCAAATTCAATTTTCAAACACAAATATTTTGAGTTCTCAAAAAAAAGTAACAGTATTCTAATTACTCAAATTTTAGATTCAAGATCTTCAGTGTTGGATAAGTTATATTTTTGAAAATGAAGTTATTTCTTAGGGGTTGCTCAAATTGGGCTAATGATGCTAAAAAGAGGGAAAAAATCATCAGGGAGAAGTGAGAGCTGACTGTAATGTTCAAGGAAGACATTTGGAATAATAAGGATTCTCTAGAAGTAGTTATTGAAGGAGACAATTTCTGTTCCTACCAGGACATTTAATATCTTTTTTACTTGGATGTTGGGAAGATGATTCCTGCTCTACATGGATGGTTAGACAAGTTGATCTTTATTATTGTTCTCAGTGTTGATAATCTGTGGACCTAAAATTAACTATAAATTCATGAATTTGATAAATTCAAGAAGAAATCCACGGAGTTGCTCCACTGGCTCCTCTGTTACAATCACCTAGCATTTCCTAGACCAGGCACTCTTCCAAACTGGTGTATAACTTCGTGTGAAATGACTCACTTTCAAACTGGCAATTATCAGGTAGGACCACACTATTATAGTCTTCCTTTTGCAATTGAGAAAACTCATTCATACAGAGGTAAGTAACTTTCCCAAGATAACATAGTTGGAAGCGGCAGAGGCAAGTTTTAAACACAAATGATCTGGCTGTAGAGTTCACGTCTGTTAGCACCGTGTGATACTACAAACGGGTACAGCAGAAGCCAGATCTAGTCTCATATTACTGTGTGAAATGTTGCCTGGATGCTTCCAATATCCTGTATTCCAAAATGCTATAAGGAAACAGCAAAAATACAAACGAAATTTAGAAATGAGAGCATGGAGAGTATCAGACAAATGGAATACCCAAGAGCGAGATCAGTTTGTAAACGAATCTAGTAAATCTCAAAAGTGCGGTTGGTTTGTAAAATAATGTAGTAAATCTCATATATAAAATTAGAACTGAACTCCAGATCTGGCTTAAGCTTTCTAGCAGTTAATAGAATGAGAGAGATAATTGGTTATGTGGTGTCCTCTAAAATTAAAAACAAATAGCACTACTCACCAGATGTATAACTATTGCAGGTATAGAAACCAGAGAAAAATTCAAATTATGAGGCCTCATAGAGAACACTGTTAACAATACGAGCAATGCTTTCCGTAATACTTTCAGAATGAACACAATAACAGATTTCATGGGTTTATTTATTTTATAAAATTATTACTCAACATGAGCTAAAGTGCAATTCAGCTACAACAATTTGATAGAGAACACTGTTAACAATACGAGCAATGCTTTCTGTAATACTTTCAGAATGAACACAATAACAGATTTCATGGGTTTATTTATTTTATAAAATTATTACTCAACATGAGCTAAAGTGCAATTCAGCTACAACAATTTGAGGGAGGGATGAGTGTCAAATCATACCACGCAGAATCTGTTGGTAAATCCTATAGTATCTAAAACAATGAATGCACTTCCAATCCCTCAGATATTTCACTAGATGTATAATTAATTAAATGTTAGATATACAATATAGCTTTGTGTTTAAAATTCTGGGCTAGGGAGTCAGTCTTAGATCCAAATCTAAGCTCTGCTTCTTAACTTGCATGGAAAACATGTAACTTCACCAACCCAAGTAAGATGTAGCATATCATTAGGAAATCTATTAATGCAATTAATTTACAGAATCCTTCATATGTATACTCATATTTATGTTTTGTAAATAAATCTGTTTTTATACATACATGCACATCAGTTTACTTGGTAATTTATGGGGAGCAGAATGGAATAGAGGTATGAGGAAGGGGGCTCTTTTATGTTTTATTTTATACAATAAATTACCTACAATAAATTACCTATTAAATTTGTATAAAATTTAAATTTTATACAAAGACAGCCTAGCAATGGATTTTTCATACTAAAAATGCTGTTATAAAAATAAAATGAGTTGGTTAGATGAGAAAAAAATCATGGCCTCCACTAGGCAATCCATTTTTCAGGGTTTCCTTTTCTATTCCCTTGCATTCAAATCCAAGTCTGCCTTTTCTGTGTCCATTTTGCATGTGAACTTTGGCAAGTTACTGTCCTTTTATCTTTCGCATTTCTAAAAGACACTTGGGGTAGACTACGTCTATGGATCACTCCATCTGTTATCTACCGTGTTTTTGTTACTCTCCTGTGGTAGTGCAGGTAAAGATGAATATGCTTTCTTGGCTGGGGAGCAAATTTTAACAGGCGATCATATCTCAGATCAAATAAGTGATTCTAAACTGAAAATTTCTTGAATAAATATAAGTAGAAAAGGAGGATTTTGTTTGGGGAGAGGCTTTTTACTCTCTGAGAAAACAGCATGCCTTTTATTATGGACTCATCCCATGAACACTGTCTTGTGGCAGCAAAAGATTTCAGATGTCATGTCTATCTTTAACACATTTACTCATCTCATACTACCTTTCTACATCCCAGCCACTCTCTTGCCTTCTCTGCTTTTATTTTCTGCTAATTTGCATTTTATTTGTGGTGTTTTCTTGTTTTTACTCAAAAGCAATGACATCAAATAATGATAAACATTATGGACACTTATATGAAAAATTATGTAACCTCAAAAGGTCATACGTAAGTACCATTGCAAGTTCTGCTATAAATTTACTCTCTTTCTCTCTCTCTTTCTGGGTCTCAATTTCTTCACTTGAAAAGGAGATCAGTAGCCTCAGTGGCTCTAAAGTCAGCATAAAAAGTTCCACATTTCCCAGTCACGTTGATTAGAGAGTTACATTTGACATTTAAGATCCTTTTCAATTATGAGTTTCTTTATTCTATTATTCTGGGTCAAATGTAGAAGATGAGCCAGCAAGATGAGGGCATCCACGAAATTCAGAGTCAGGTAAGCGTACAAACAAACAAAATCTCTGTGATGTCATAAACCGCATAAGAGGGCAAAAAAATCAGGTCCACAATTAATGCAAAGAAGTAGCAATGGAGAGCTATGCAAAAGCTGAAGGAGCTGCACAAATTTAATAAGTAGATTGTCAACAATAAGGTGCTTCACCAGAAAACGGTAATAATTTCAAGGCCAAGAAAACACCCCACCTAGAATGGTCTCTTACTCTAGAGCCAGTACCCAGAGACCCTGGCTTTTAGGGTAGCAGGCAACGATCACTGAAAACAGCCAGCTGGCAGTGAGGGCTGCAACCAGAAGATAGTGCTTGGCAGAAGTGCTTTTCTGACACTTGCGCTAAGTCACAGTGCATTAGGGTTACCATTAATCATCAGCAGCATTATTAATGGCACCTTCTCCCCATCTCCTGAATAGAATTCTAAGAACCATTAAGTATATGGTACACAAAGTGAGAAAATTGAGTCAATTATTCACACAGTTCATATCACAAGCATTTTGATATGTACACACACAATGCATGTTAAAATTTTGGTTAATTTGCTTATATTTGAAATTGATTTATCCAGAAAATTGTCTGTCATCATCACTGACTTGGAGTGTGGACGCAGCCGTGAATGATGTCATGATGCTTTCATAAACTAAAAGTACACTTAAAACCTCAAGGGAAGAGAATTCAGTGAGCAAAAATACCTAGAAATCTACTAGGCCCCTTCTTTATTTAGCAAAGCTGATTGTAATGAAAATTATCATGTGTGTTTTCAGAAAAATTGAGCCATCTGCATTTAAAAACGATTTACTTTTTTTCTTACATGATTATAATGATTATTTGAACCTCATTTTTCAAATGCCTTGAGTCTTTTATATTCTTTGAATTTTTAAAATGCTAAATAAAAACATGGAGTTTGTAGCTATTTACTTACATTTCATTTTCTTCACATGGTAGGTCCGAGAGCACCAACTGAAACACATGTTTAGAACAATAAAATCCAAACATCTCATCAGTCTAATCCTTTAACACAAGCAGCGCCTAGAGACAATGTGGTTTATATCATTGTGTTTGCTTTTTTAATTAAAAGCTTTGTGCAGAGTTATTGTTGGTGCACAGAATTTTAATTGAAAAAAATCTCTGGGTAGATTCTTAAGCTCAGCAGTGACAGAAGATATATATTGTGAACCAGATTCCTATTCTACATACCACTATAGATGCATGTGACAACCTTTTTTGTTTTTCTATAAGATTTTCCTTGCTCTAAAGAACTTTGTGAACCTTGCATTTTTTGTTTTCATATTTTAGCTACAGGAAGTAAGTTCACTATTTGTGAGTATTATTTTCATAGGAAGAAGCTAAATTTCATGTATGCACATGGGAACAAAAATCAATCTATTGGCATTAATGGGTGTAATTGAAGGTGTGATTTCTACCTGCGCTAAGGCTAAGGTCCATTTAAGATACTTGACATTCCTGTTGAGATTTACAGTCTTCTCTTTTACAAAAAAGAGGAAAAAGTCCCAGATCATAAGCATTCTAACACAATTATCTTAGTTCCCTGTGTTGAGCCTCATAGGTTACAACATTTTACACCCATAATCACAAGGAAAGAAAATACTCCTTTCTAGATGTTTTATTTATTTGTTTGTTTGCTTTACCTCTTGAACTGGAACTGCTTCCTGGTACAATGAGAAAATCTTTGAATGTCATTTGTAGGTAGCTCTAAAAACTGGATTGATGAGGTCAGTTGAAGTATTTATTTTACTGGACTATAACATGCAAATAAAAGTAGAAGTAAGAAGTTACAAAGTGTAAAATGATTGACTTGGGAATTTTGTGTGAGACATGTCTTTTCCCCCTTAATCACAAATGTATCTTCTTCAGTACCTTGTATTTACTCCACCAAGTTTATCTGGGCAAAGAGATTTGTGGAGTTGCAGATGGAGCCATGAATTGGCCATCAGAGAGCATGGTAATGAACAATTTGTAAGCACAGAAAATGAGTTGCATTCTTTTTTGCTAGAGTGTTACAAATAGATTTGCATACTAACTGAGAGGAAAATGAACATTCAAATTTTGTCCATAAAGAAAGTTTATTTATGAGTAGATCAAATCATTTGGGATCCAGCTTAACAGAATTTCACTTGCAAGTCACTTCCTAGTCTTCCTGTGTGTTGTACCCTAGCAGGAGTACAAGATATTAAATTATTACCACCCCACTGCCAATGCATTAGCTGTCAGACTTCTGGGTTGTTATGAAGTGGCAAGTAAAGTCTTAATATACTTTAGATCTAAATCTTTCAGATACATTTCATTCAAGTAACACACATACAGAGATGCAGGTATTAGTCAGAAAGGGATGCTGGAGCAGAGGAACCAAAATAAATCCTAAAATGGTTCTGTCTATATCAGTCAGCACTGAAACACTGTCAAGCATCAGCTATGGTTGCAGGCAACAGCAAACATGTCTTAAATTAATCCAGCCATAGCATTTTGCTCTGTATCAACAGTATTTTTGAATTTTTTTTTTTTAAAATACGGCATAGCAAAGTTAAGCAAAGGCTAAATTTTTATCACATTTTTCAATGACAATAGAACTAAATAAAGGAAAAATAAGGCTGCTGTTATGGACACTTTGTTTTCTGTATCTCTGACCAATGAATATAATAGTAGTCATGAGATGCTGGTAACACTTTCTTAAAAGAAATCTTTTAAATGCAGAAGTAGTTAAGCTGACCAAAGAATAAATCAATAGCAAATCAAATCCTCAGAGTACCTCTGAAAATCTTTTCCCAGAAAGAGATGTGGTTACCTGGAATAGTGGCAAACCCAAGGTTCCTGTTGTTGAGATCACTGAAGTGACACTGAAAGGTCTGGATCTTGACATGCTTAAAGGACGATCTGCTCAGAGATAGTGGTTTGCTAACTGTGTTTATCTTTCTCTTTCCCAGAACTTGTTAGCGTCTCTGTAAGTTATGCTTCCCACCAGGACATGATGGCTCCTTGTGACTAGGAAAGTGCATGCTGGGGGAAGGAATGTTGGGTGCATGCTCATAGGTACAAGAGTTCAAGGAATTTAAGTTTAAGGTCAGAACCTTGGTACTGTTTGTCAAGGCCCTTAAAAGGAGAGGTTATAAATGCTGAGTGGCAAAGCTGGCCGGTGGCTTAAACAATTTCAAACATTCAAGTGTATGTTTCATTCCACTTCTGGGTTTTTAATAGTATCTTGTATTTGGGACATTTATTCAGTTCATTCAGAACATTCTTCCCTTTGTTGATTCCTTTTTGCACATCATTGTCAGTTCCAGACTTGGGCATAAAGCTTTCCCTGTCCCATAGTGATGACTCCTTTGTTTTAAACAGGGTATAAGTCAATGTTTACTTTAATGAAACAACTCCAACACCACTACTGCCAAAAAAAAAAATTGCAAAAAATGTCTAGGGAAATTCTGAAAAAGAACAAAGAAATGACACTAAACTATTGTATATTAAAACATCTTAAACTATGGTAATATACAAAAATTGGTACTGATACATATTAATAGTAAGATAAATGTAACAGAATAGAGAGTTCAGAAACAGACTCAAATAAACGTAGAAATTTATTTAAACTGCTGTTTAAAACCAATGGGGAAATGATGGATATCATTCATGGAATGAGGAAGAACTAAATATCTATGTGGAAAGATGGCATGATCAGATATTTTTCAAAAGAAATAGACAAATGGCCAAGATATGAAAATATGCTCAACATCACTAATCATCAGGAAAATGCAAATGAGATACCACCTTACCCCTGTCAGAGTGGCCATTACTGAAAAGTTTAAAAACAATAGATGTTGGCGCAGATGCAGGGAAAAGTGAATGCTTATACACTGTTGGTGGAAATGTAAAGTAATACGACTCCTGTGGAAAACAGTGTGGAGGTTCCTCAAAGAAGTAAAAGTAGACCTACCATTCAATCCAGTGATCCCACTACTAGGTATCTACCCAAAGGAACGAAATCATTTTACAAAAAAGACAACTGCACTCAAATGTTTATTGAAGCACAATTCACAAATGCAAAGCTGTAGAATCAACCTAAGTGCCCATCAACTGAGGATTGGATAAAGAAATGTGGTATGTACATACCATGGAGTACTACTCAGCCATAAAAAGGAATGAAATAATGCCTTTTGCAGCAACATGGAAAGAACTGGAGAACATTATCCTAAGTGAAGTATTTCAGGAATAAAAAAACAAATACCACATGTTCTTATTTATAAGTGGGAGCTAAATTATGGGTATATATGATCATAACGTGACATAATGGACATTGGAAACTAAGAAGAGACTTGGGTGGTAGGGGATGAGGGATAAAAATCTATCTATTGGGCACAATGTACACTATTCTGGTGATGGGTACACTGAAAGCCCTGACTTCAGAATTATACAATTCATCCATGTACAAAAACACTTGTACCCC